GGGCTGAGCCCTGACCCCTCTGACAAGCTCTGCGTCAAAGCGTCCGTCTGGACGGGGTCACAGAGCGCCCCGCCAGCCACTGTCCCCCCCACTCGTCACTCTGCATGGAGTCAATCAGCTTTTGAGATGGGATAGAAGCTTCCAGACAGACACAGGGAACTCGGGAAAGGAAACAGGAAGAAAGGACCAGGGAAGCATAAGAAAACCCTTCTGGAAAACGCACAGGGAATTGGAACGTTTTCTTCCCGGTGACTCACTTCCGAAGATAACCCGACCGCTAAACCTCTAACGCTGATGGCGTGGACCGCGGCCATGGAACAAACACGATGCCTAACGACACAGCGGTCACAGCAGTGCTTGTCGCGCACAATGACAAATCAGATTTCCACGTCAGTATTTTAGAAATAACCGTGAACAGTCACCTACACCTGGAACAGTTTGTCCTGTGAATTCTGAAGACCTTCAGCGACGTGAGAGGAGGCATTTTTGAGGAACAGTTTGGCCTTTGAAAAAGCCCTTTTCCCCAAACACATTGACAACCTGGGCAGCGCCAGCCACACGCAGGTGCACAGAGGGCAAACGCACCCGGGCGGCTCCCAGGGCAGGACCGGTCACGGGAAGGAGGAAGCACCCGGGCAGGTCCCAGGACGGGACCGGTCTCGGGAAGGAGGAAGCACCCGGGCAGGTCCCAGGGCGGGACCAGTCTCAGGGAGGAGGAAGTGTTCTCCACCGACTTGGGGGCAGGCTCTCACCTTCCTGGATGAGTCTCCAGGGGTTGAAGAAGACGTCGCGCAGGTGCAGCCGGGGGAGGTCGCGGTGCTCCTGGAAGTCGGCATCGAGCCGCCGCACCAGCGGGTGGACAGTGGCGTGGCCGAAGCGGAAGGCGGCGGTGGAGAACACGTTGGACACGGTGGGGTTCACGGTGGGGTCGTAGCCGTCATAGGGACCCACGTGCTGCTCAAAGGCCGCGGGGCCCAGGATCTTGGGGACGTAGTCCCGCAAGGTGATGATCTGTGTGGAAAGGAAGTCGGGTGAGCCTCCGCGCGGGCACAGATTTTCGGGGAAGCCCAGGATGAGGGTTGAGTCAGAGCTACAGAGAAGCAGGGACGTCCCTGGGCTGACGTCGTCTCACGGAGGTGTCACAGGAGGGGGTCACGTCACTCAGTGACGGGAACAGGCCAGCACGTCGGCGGGCACAGGAACGCCAGCCGTTCCCGGTGAGCCCGGAGCTCTCAGCATTTATGGGACTTGACGGAGGGTGTCACAGACGTCCCCAAACACCCTCCAGGTGGGGCAGGGCGGGCACACCACATCAGAAACATAGAACGTTCCCATCACAAACTGTGTCCTCCCCTCCTCCTCCCGCCACCTAGGAGCAACCCACCGACACCCAAACATAAAACACAGATAAGAAATATGGGTACATCGAGGAATCTTGGGCCCGGAGGCTCCGGATTGAGACCAACTCGAATTCCAACGCTGCCCCCGTACTTCTTGGCTGTGTGACTAAGAGCTTTGTCCGACCCTCCCGATCCTCTGTTTTCTTATGTGGAAAAGCCGCTCTCACAGTTTTGCAGGAACAAAAGACATGCTCGGTTGTATGTACACGGTCTATCATGTAACATCAGACACAGGCACAGCGCAGAGTGAACACACACAGTATGTCAGCACGTGGGAGCGGCCGAGAGCTGGGAGGTGCCTGCGTGACTGGCCCGTGACGTGGCTCGGGCAGGCACCGTGTGGCCAGTTTGGCGCCTGTGAACAGCGTTTTCTCGCTCTGCAATGAAGGCCTCAGATTGAATGTCTCGAAAATGTTTTTTGTTCGTTTGTTTCCCGTGGATATTGCCAGACACAGACCGGCCCCCAGGACGGCGACAGCTGTTGGCGGAGGTCGTGCGTCAATGGGAACACCTGGGTCCTCCAGGTGCCAACGCTCGCTGGGCCCGGGCGGCGGCTGTGATCCTGGCTGGGTGACCTCCAGCTGAGAGCAGTTTCCTCTCCGTGTCATTGTAAAGCTTGATTCCAACAGCGTTTGTGAGGCTCCAATCAAAGCACATTGTACGCCGCGGTGCTCTGTCAGTGGAAAATCGTAGCACGATCGAGGGTCTTGAAATTACTCTCTGACGCATGGTCTCAGGAGAATTATGTACGAGGATTCTGCTTTTAGATTTAACAATGCCTTTTTTCAGCCAGAAAAATCAGCGTGAAATTATTTTGGCGTTTATGGAGAATATTTTGGTCAGTATGCGCCAGGATGAAGTGTCACAGGACTGAGTCTATCCGGAAATACGAGTCTTATATCGGCTTGTCAGTTCAGGAAGGCAAGTAGGTTGTTTAAAAAATAACAAACATCATTTATATACCTGTCACACACTCCTTCCAAATGAGAAAATGCATCTCCTAAGCACATAACTGGGGACTTCCGGGGGACCAAAGTGGCCTGAGTTTTTGTTTCCTGGCTTCTTTTTTTTTTTTTTTTTTTGAGACAGAGTCTCACTCTGTTGGCCTGGCTAGAGTGAGTGCCATGGCGTCAGCCTAGCTCACAGCAACCTCAAACTCCTGGGCTCAAGCGATCCTCCTGCCTCAGCCTCCCGAGTAGCTGGGACTACAGGCATGCGCCACCATGCCCGGCTAATTTTTTCTATATATTTTTAGTTGTCCGATTAATTTCTTTCTATTTTTAGTAGAGACGGGGTCTCGCTCTTGCTCAGGCTGGTCTCAAACTCCTAAGCTCAAACGATCCTCCCGCCTCGGCCTCCCAGAGTGCCAGGATTACAGGCGTGAGCCACTGCGCCCGGCCTGTTTCCCGGTTTCTGCCTCCAGCTGAGGGGCCCAGCCCTGGTGCTCCCACCGTCACCTCTGAGGGCCGCACATGCGGGAGGGGCAGGCTCCCTCCAGACGTCCCCAGGCTGGCACCTCAGTCCCCTGCTGGCCCCCCAGGGGTGAGAAGCCCGGTGTCAGACACCAGCATCCGCAGAGCAGCCATGACTCCACGACGCGCAACAGCCGTCACAGCAGGTGGGAAGTACGTGAGCGAAGTTTCTGGACCACATGCACGGCCAAGGCTCCTCTCCCCACGCTGGTGAGGTCGGGCAGGGTCGGGGCTCTCCACGTCCAGGACACGGGAACCTTTCACTCCTGTCCCCCCTCCTTGGTTTCTTCTCCCCACAATCGCAGGGAAATGGTCTCTCTTCAGCCCAGGGACAAGAGATGACTCATCGTGCAACTCAAAGCTATTCCCACGACACCTTCCCTCTCTCTCCACCTCAAGCTGACCCGTGAGCCCTGGCTCCCGAGGCCCTGCGGGTGCAGCTCTGCGCAGCTCCGCTGACCCCGCGCCCGCGGCCCACCCCTCGCACGTCCCCCGGCTCCAGCGTCCGCCTTGCCAGAGACCCGCAGGCGCGTTTCTCCCTCACGCCCCGCTGGTCTGGTCTGGCCCCTGAGCTGCCCAGCTGCAGAAGCACGGCCCACGGCCCTCGCAACCCGAATCTTTCAAGGGACTCCTCGGAACATCCATGGCGATTCTGAAAACCCTCCTGGAGTTTCCTGCTGCGGGTCGCATGGGGAAGTGGTGCCTTTGAACTGCTGGGCTGGGCAGAAGCTGCGCCCTCAGACCTGGGCGTCGCCGGCCCCATGCCTGCCTGTGCCCTGCGTGGGCGGGTCTGGGTCTCCTCCCGGCAGGGGCCCTGCTGTGGCCTGCGTCCCAGAGCTGCCCCCGGCCTGCCGGCACCAGCCTCGTGGCCCCTGGGCTCGTGGCCTGGTCTCTGTTGGCCTTCCCGACCCAAGCAGCGGGAAGCACAGGCGAGGTCCGAGTTTTGGAAAATGACATGGTGGAGGTGGCAGGAAGCTGGGGCCAGGCAGTGAGGAGGCCAGACAGACCCGGAGGTGCGGTCACTGTGACCACTGTCGGGGAGACAGATCCAGTCAGTGCCCCTCACCTGACCCCCCGACTCCTGCCGTTCCCCACGTCACCACCCTGCTTCCTGCAGACAAACGCCCTTTGGCATTTTTCCAAAAATGCCCAGGTTCTAAATGAGAGACAGGATCCCGGGGGCTCACTGAGGACCCTCTGGGCGGATGAGAGGGACCAGCTCCCCCCGAGCGTGGCCTCGGCCGGCTCTGCTTCTGCTCCATCCGCAGGGAGCTGCAGCTCAGCCGCACCTGGGTGCAGCCGGGAGGCAGGGGCCTGGCCAGTCCCCGCGAGGAGCCACCGTGGGGTCTTGTCAGCCCACACTGGGGGTGCTGGGGTGGGGAGAGGTCTGGGGGTCACGAGAGCACCCACTGCAGAAACTTCTCCCCCTGGAACCTTTCTAGCCACGGGTAAGGAGCAGGCCTTTACCCACCCCCCGCTCTGTCTTTGGGAAGAGCCAGCGATCTGGAGAAAGGCTCCTGAGCCACGGGAAGGTCAGCAGCTGAGCTGCCCTGAGGACGCAGGCCCAGCCCCACAGAGGAATTCGCCCGCCTCCTTCAGACGGGTGCACGGGGGGTCTTGTGTCCCCCTGGGGTCTGGTCTTGCCTCCATACACATCCTGATTAAAACTTCTGTGGGTCTTTGAAGGTCCGGGGCAGTAAATGCTGTTCTCTGGAGCCCGGTCTGCTGTCTGAGGGCCGGACGTGAAGCATCCAGCCCAGGCATTTGCGCCTGCAGGCCTCGCGCTGCGCCCCAGTGGCTCCCGAGACTCCCCGGCAGCTCCCGCTCTGCCTCCGTCCCACCTGCGCTGGGAAGCTTTTCCTTTTAGTTCTCTTCCTGCTACAGGACACACAAGGTCTTGCCAAAAGGAGCATCTGAGTCTGTTTGGCGTCATGACGCACCCTGGGGTGCTCTGGGAGTCCTCAGGCAGGAAGCAGGGCCTGTGGAGTAGGGGCTCTGCGGGACCTCCCGTCGGCAGGGGCAGTCTCCGGGACAATGCCGGCCCCGGCGAGAGGACCACCCAGGGCAGACACCTGCAGGAACACCCAGCACGCGTGCTCTGCCCGCCGGCTGCGGGAGAAGACCCCCATCAGCGTGGTGCAAAAGGAGTCAGAGGGGCCAGATCCTCGTGGAGGGTGGTGGACCCAGGGCAGGAGCTGAGCCTCCCGGCTGAGGCTCCAACCAGGCTCAGACCTTCCTGCTTCCTGAGGGTGTGTGAGTCGGCCCGGCCGGCTCCTGCATGTGTGGGGGGTGCTACTTCTCTGCTACAAACTGGCCTGACATTCCCTTTCATTGTACGACTCTTTTCAGGAGGAGAGAGACTCAGATCGCTAAGTCACCAGACCGCGGGAGAGGAGAGAGACCATGCGGTCACCGTGGGCCCTGCAGACGCCGCTGGAGTCCCGGCAGCGGCTCGACCCACACATCAAACACAGCTCGTTATTTTTGTAAGGTTTCGAAGGTATTGGCAAAAAGCACCAAAGAGGACCTACTGACTGGAAATCCAAAAGTGAAATATAAAACCAAAGAGAAAAGAATGGTCACATTTTTAAAAAAGCAGAACACACAGAAAACGGGTTGAGGAGGGTAGATACCAAATACTTTCCTTATTGATCGATGTTATTGTCATTGTTTCACCTACTGAGAAGTAGAGGACGTCATGATCTCCAGGTTGGGTGGGATCCTCAGAAATTCACAATTAAAGTGTCTCTAATTTGCAACTACAGGCTAGTACAGGACACACTGAACAAGTCACACCCCTGAATAATCCCGGAACGCCAACGTCACCTTCTCTCCTCCTGTGTGAACCGTCGCGACGGGAGTGAGAGGCATTTGCTCCCCCGCGAGCGCTGGGCTGGCTGAAGCTCTCACTTGGAGTTCACCCAAGTCCTGTCCTTGCAGGGACAGTGGGGACAGGGCTTCCGGGATTATTCCTGGGATTTCCACTTCATTCACAAGCTCTACATGTGTTTATCAAGCACCTACCTATTGCCAGGCATATTGAAGGTGCTAGAAAAAAGAATTAAGCAAAAATCTCTGTCCTCACAGAGCTGACAGTCAGGGACAGAGAACATAGTCCCTGGATTCACCTCCTGGGACACTGTACGGGGCACCTCCTGTCACTGCGGGTCACCGGCTGACCGGGTTACAGCCCACCCTGCACAGGGAAGGGAGGGAAGTTCTGCCCGGCTTCTTGGCAGCACTGATCATTTGTACTTCAAACAGTGGCAAAGTTCCTGGTCATGTTTTACTGCTATCGTCCAAATTTTCCCCAATTCTCCCTGCACAAATTCTATATGGTTATTCCTTTTAAATTTTAATGATCTTATCTGTTTACATCTGTCAAGCAAGATAGTGACTATTCAACAATGCAGCTTGCTTAGACCAAACCCCAGCGTTCAAGCTCATGTCTTGGATAACCCGGGCCCGGCCTCAGAGACTTCAGCCTCAGTTTTAGACTCCGTGTGTCTGGTCCCTGCTTTCCTTTCTAACTCTCCTGTCCCCAACACACTCACGCCGGCTCAGCCCTGACTGACACTGCTCCGCTCTGTGTGTCTCCAGGTGTGGGATAGAAGTGCGAGCCCTGCTGCTGCCCAGCCTGTCCCCAAGGAAGCACCCAGCAACTGGAGGGTCAATGCCAGGCGTGGTGGGGCCGTGGGGTGCCTAGAACTCTCTGGCCTGACCGCCGGGTGCCTGGACCTACAGGTGGCAGCGGGGAGTGGGGGCAGAAGCCTGCTCCCCTGCATGGCCCTGTGCAAACTCGGGCGAGACTGAACTTCCTCCTCTGCGGAACGGGGTTCGCACCCCCTTCCCCCAGGTCACCGTGCACTGAGGGGTGTCAGGTGCCCACAACGGGGCTCAGCAGCGGGAACTGTCTGTACAGCCACTCTCTCCTTCATACAACCAGTGAGACCAGTGAAAGCGGCAACTATTTTACAGCTGTAAGTAATTTTCTCCAACATCACACAATTAATAAATGGCCACCTTTACCCGCCATTCAAAACCGTCTGATACAATTTTTAAAGTAGTCGTAAATGAAGAGAGATTTAACAGTCTCTCAGTTTAACTTGCTAATTCAGAAAGCTCACACAGAATAAGTTCTTCGTTTTCTCCATTGTTTCCAAAATGCACAAATATCAGAATCGCTGGTGCCCACTCACCTCAAAAGATTGTTGGGATAACTGTCAAAGGAGTTAAAATCTGGGAGGCGCTTGGAATGGCACCTGGGAAGCGCTGGTCGGACCCTGCTGTGGGGCAGAGCTGCCGCCGCTGCTGCGGGTGTCCTGGATAACCCCGGCGGGGCCGAGAGGCTGGACGGGACAAGGGGCCCGGGAGGGTCCTCCGGCACCGGCACCGGGTCAGCCGTCACCCCCAGGAAGGGCCCACGATCCTGCGCCCGCCTGTGCAGTGCGCCTAGGCTGACTCTGCGCACCCACAGGGCGCGGGGATTGGCCCGCACCTCACGCCTACCTGATGCAGGGCGCCCACGATCTTGCGCGCCTCCTGGTAGGTCGTGTCTGCGCTCCAGTGCGCGTTGAGGGCCTTGAGCGCCGCGGCCAGGCGGTTGTGCTCGCGCAGCCACAGCGTGTGCAGCGCCGTCAGGGAGGGGACCTCGCTGGCGCGGCCTTCCCCGGCCAGAAAGCAGGGCGCGCGGGCCGCGCCGGGGACGCCGGGCTCGGGCGCGCAGGCCGGGGGCGCAGCGCGCGGCGCGAAGGGCAGGTAGGCGCGGCCCGCGTCCCGGTGGCGCGTGTTGACCCGCAGCAGCCCCTCGGCGCTGGTCCAGTTCCGCAGCTGCCGCTCCGCGGCGGGGGAGCTGCCGTACACCGTGGAGGCGTCGAGGAAGGACGTCAGCCCGTTCATCTGCTGTCGCGGGTTCGCCCTGGACAGGTTGCCCAGGAGCGAGCCTTGGTCCCCGGTGCCGCAGGCGGCCGACGAGCGGTAGAACGGCAGACAGGCGGGGCGCGCCGGCGGGGCGTTCTCGGGGAGCTGCGGGGACAGGGACATCCAGGTCACCTGAGGCTCGGGGACAGGGACATCCAGGTCACCTAGGGCTCGGGGACAGGGATATCCGGGTCACTTAGGGCTCTCGCGCCCTTCTGCGATGTCCAGACCTCTGCGTGGTCCGGCCGCCCTGCCCTCCCCGCCTTCTCACCGGGTCTCTTGCCCCGGGAGGCCGGACCGGAGCGGGGGTGTCCCCTCCTAACAAGCCTTGTCTCCTGCCAGCTCAGACCCTTTCAGACTGACCTCACCTCTCACCCCGCCACCTGCCCTGCCTGTCTGGAATCCCCACACATTTGTTTTTTCCCCCGGCTTTTGGAAGAGCCGACCTCTCCTCTTTCCAACGATCTGGGCTTCCTTTCGGAGCGCAGTGGGCAGAGTTACCGGGTTTGGGGAGCACCCCGTTTAGTGCAGAGCCCACTGTGGGGGTGTGCGGAGACCCTGGTCCGGACCCAGTTCGTCCCTACCATGAGAGGGAAACTAAAGCACGTTTGGCCGCATTTCCAGGTTTCCTGTGGCGTCGGGCGGGGCTGGGTGTGAGTGAGCTCTGGGAAGCGCAGGGCGCGCAGGTCTGTCCACCAAACCGCCTGACGTGGGCGAGCCCAGCTGGGCCCTGCCTGGGGCTGGCGCTGGACCTTCCAGTGGACATTTGAGATTCAGGGGGGTTAAGTAGCTCACCCAAGGTCACAAGGCTCTGGCTTACTGAACATGGCCGTCTTCTCGTACGGTTACATTATACTGAGTGATGAGGAAAGCACTTCTCTATGAGCAAGGCACAGGGTGGGGCACTGAGACCAGAGGCAGAGAAGACACCCGGGGATAAGTGCGTGGCCACCAGCAGGGTGCGCCAGCCACAGCTGCCCAGATCGGACTCTCTGCAGCGCTCCGTGGGCGAGAGAGGCAGAGCTGTAGGTGGATTCCGTCCACTCTGGTGCAATGCAGGGACCTCGGGGCAGAGGCAGAGCTTGTGCGGGAAGCGGCAGAGCAGGCGCCCTCAGCACCTGGTCCAGGCCAGTGAGCGCCCGTCCAGCCGTGTGGTCCCAGGGGCCTGGGGAGGGCCCGGTGGCTCCAGCCCCACCCTAGGAGCGGGTACCAGGTCCACGGGTTGTGCATTAAAAAGAGTTTCCACCAAAACCCTGAGGACTGCTAAGGCTGAGCCTGGGGTCAGAGCAGAAGGGTCTAGAATGAGAGACCCACAGGAAGATGTGCTTGTCATTAAATAGGAAGGCTTAGTTTTGTAAGACGAAAAAAAATCCAAATTCATGCACAAACAAACGTAATCCCATTCAAAATCTCAGTATGATTTTTCACAGAGCTTGACAAGCTAATTATGTAAAAACAGAGAAAAGGACTCTTGCCCTTTGAACACCAACACACAGTCTGAAGCTACAGTAATTGAACATGCATCAGTGGAAGCCGGATTGCAAACACCGATTATTATTGTAGCTCAGCGTGTGATAAAGATAGCTTCTGAAATCGGGGGGAAAATGGAGTATTTTTAAAATGACCACCCACTTAGAAAAATAATCGTTAGATCTATACCTCACACTGTTCATAAAAGTAAATTCCTAATAAAGTTTATATCAAAACTACAATCTTTAACATTGTAAATGAAAATATAGAAAAATATATTCATAACTTTCAGATAGGAAAGACCTGCTCAAAAAGATAAAATTGTATGTCCTACAGAAAAAGAGATTGATCAAACTTATTTATGAATAATGGCACCATAAATAAAATTAAAAGGCAAGCATTCATCTCTAACTAAGGATTAATGTCTAGGATCTACAGAGAGTATATATATTCTTAACCGAAACAGGGAACAACTTAATAGAACTAAGAGTGGAAGTGAGAGAGAAAACACTTTCGTCTGAGGGATGTGAGCCTCTAAACTGTCAGGCCCAGAGAGACATGGAATGAGACTGCGGTCCCCTAAGTAATCATCTCTTGAAACTGTTTGCTGTGGCCACAAGTGGCTATAAATTAACCCAATGATGCCCCATGCTGAGTGCCATAACCCACACAATGTGTAGCAATCACCAACCAATGCTGTTCCGCAAACCAATGAGGATTCCTGACAAACAACTGTGTATCACTCAGTCCTTGTTCTCCGTTCTTGCCTTTTAAAAACCTGCTTCTATTAGGTCATTAACTATGAAATGCCCCACCTCGAATCAAACGTGTAGTTTATTATATCTCATACAAGAAGCAGCACAATTAATCAAAGTAGGCGCCTAAACTATCGACACAGTTTTGCCATCTTAATGGTAGCTTGTTTATGCCAGTAGCGAAGAAGCCTGGAGAGCGAGTGGCCATGAAATCGTGAAAGGTATTTTCCATGGCTTGTTTTGGGAATTGAATATTTTTCCTTGCAGGAAGTGGTCCAAAGCCTGGAAGAAGTGGGAGTCAGTTGGTGCAAGGTCTGGTGAATACGGTGGATGACAGAGAGTTTCCAAGTCCAGCCTCTGTAGTTTGAGCAGCGTTGTTTGTGCGACATGTGGTTGAGCGTTGTCTTCCAAGAGGATTGGCCTGTCTCTGTTGACCAATCTCAGCTGCATACTCGCAAGCATGACCTCATCATTTCATCCAGTTGGTTGCAGTAGACATCCGCTGTGGTTGACTGACCAGGTTTCATGAAGCTGTAGTGGATAATACCAGCGCTGGACCACCAAACAGACGCCATTAGCTTTTTTTGATGAATACTCGGTTTTAGACTGTGTTTAGGCATTTCGTGTTCATACAACCATGGTGCCAAATGATTATGATCGTCAGAAAGAATCCATCTTTCATCACACGTAACATTATGGTGTAGAAAAGCTTTGCCTTTATGTCGTGACAGCAAAGAAAGGCAAGCTTCGAGACAATTTCTCTGCTGATGCTTGTTTAATTCATGCGGGGCCCATCTATCCAGCTCCTTTACTTTGCCCATTTGTTTCAAATGGTCCAATATTGTTGGACTAGTAACGTCAAACCTTGCTGCTGGTTCACACGTAGGTTGAGATGGATTCGCTTCCACTACAGCTTTCAGCTCATCATTATCCACCTTGGTCTCGGGTCACCACGTGGCTCATTTTCAAGATCAAAATCACCAGAACAGAACTTTTCAAACTGTCAATGTACTATGTGTTCATTAGCCACATCCTTCCCCAACACTCTGTTGCTATTTCTGTGCTGTGTGTGCTGCATTGGTTCCACAGTGGAACTCATATTTGAAAATAACATGAATTTTTGACTTATCCATGGTTTCACAAAATTTTCTCAAAAAAAATGTAAAACATAATCACAAGACACAACGCGCGTTTGAAAGACTGAGGATGTACCTTCACAATAAACATAAACCAAGAAGTGTCAGAGTGAAATGTCAGAGATAACCAACCGTCTAACTTAGTACTTAAGGAAATCGGACATCTCCTACTTAACAGCCCAGTGACAAAGGCAGCAGGAGCTCACGTCCGAGGTTACTTGGGTCTGAGTCTTCCGGGCAGCTGTCCTCACTTTGGCTCCAGTAAACTCTTTAAATTACATTTTGTGTCTCAGCTTCTTCCTTTAGGTTGACAAAGGATGTAGGTAGAGGCTTTCACACCAGTAATGTAAGATGCAAGATATCATTTTCCCCCATCAGATTGGAACATTTTAGGAGTTAAATGATATTACTGGTTCCTGAGAAATAATCAATTAGACAATGCAGTTTGTGATCCAGTGTTGTACGGCAATTTGGGAAAATCTCTTAAAATTAAAATGTGAACATAACCCCTGATCCACTGATTCCGCTTCTTACACACCTGGAGATGAACACCCGGCCTGAGGCACAGGCAGCTGGGGCCACCCAGGGCGCTGGATGAGAAGGCTCCGAAGAGGGACTCTGCTTGTCCAGGGATTGAGCCAGGCTGTGTGAGAGAGAGTGGCCTGCTCCAGGAATGGGGACACTGGATGTGGCTAGAATCCAATTTCTTTTTTCTTTTTTTGAGACAGAATCTCACTCTGTTGCC